GGTACCGAACTCCTGGGTTTGGGTGTTCAGCCTGGGACGACGGGGAAGCAGAGAGGACAGTGAGCAGCTGGGCACATGAAGGCCCGTGATGCCAACCGAGGGTCATCCTGGCCCACTGGCCTCCTGTGCACCCCCAGCTAATGCTGATGGGGCAGCAACGGGCCGACAGCCTTTCAAGGAGGGAGAGACTTCCTTGAAAGGTTTGGACAGCAGGAGCCCATTTTTGGACGAAATCCTTACTACTAAGGAAGTTCCTTCTGCTGCCTCAATCTCTCAGTCTCAGTTCAGCAACAAATGGATTCTCAAGTGATGGCAAGCCGCTTGCTCGTCCTCACTCACCAGATAAGTCAGCAGAAATGTGAAGACTGAGAATAATCTCTCTCAGTCTTCCCCTCTCCACCTGAAAACACTCCCAGCGCTTCTCAGCCTGCCTAGCCCGGGCCGCTCTCCCATTACTCTCCTTCAGAGCTTCCTCAGCCCTCTGCAAACCAGGCCTGGAAATTACCCTTGCATGGTCAAGCAGGAGACACCTAGAGACTCTCGACCACCCCTGGTTTAACTTAACTCTCACCGTCAACAAGATTTTCCTCTCATCAGTCTGGAACAAAGCAGCACTCACTGCTCTGTGAAGAGGGTCAGATCCCTTCCCGCTAGGCCTGCCTGCACCTGAGCCACCGTCTCCACAGAATTCACCTCTGCCAAGAATAGCTGTCGTCATCCAAGTTCACCGAGGCAAGAGCCTTTCTCTCCTGCCTGAGTTTCATATGTGCCGTGGAGTCATGGGCTATAAAAGCTGGGCCTGAAGGTGGGGGACCAGCTAGCTTCAGGGCACCGGGTGCGAAGGCATGCTGGGAGGTGGCAAGACTACATCACATCTAACAAACACACTCCCCTTCACCCAGGTTTCCTAGGTCAGAGAACACGCTTGGGGAAAACCGAAGGGCACAGCAGGTCTTCTTACCCCCTGGACACCGGGCGGGAAGACGTACTGGATGACAATGGTGCCATACTTCTCATAGCTGGGCAGTAGGAGCGTGGCGTCCTTAGAGACCAGCATGCGCCCATTCTGGGGCTGGTTGCCCACCAGCTGCCCATAGAAGCGGCCACACATGGGACAAGCCTTTTTCACCTGCAGGGCCCGGGTGATGCAGCCCTCACAGAACGAGTGCCGGCACTTCTCCAAGGTCTTGGCGTTCTGGATCTCCCCCAGACAGATGGGGCAGGTGCTCTCCTGCTCCTCAGCCTCCTCCCGAAGGCGGGGAGGAAGTGGAGGGGGGAGGGGAGGAGGAGGAGGGGGAAGCCCCCGAGCCCCTGGGGGCAGGAGCGGGGCTGCTCGCAGAGGGGGAGGGGGCGGCCCTGGGCGGTGCAGCTCAGGGTGCTCCCCGCCACCCCCCAAAGCCAGGCAGCCCATAAGCTCGCCCTGCCTCTGAGCTTTTTTCAGCTCTTTCTCGGCCTCTTTTAGCAGCCCCTTGAGCGCCTTCCGGGCCAGGTAGAGCCCGTTGGGGGGGGCCGGGGGAGGGCCCTGCGGGGACAGCTGCAGGACGTAGATGTCAGAAGTCTCGCCATCGATGAGGATGGACACGCGGTGCTCCTCCCGAAGCCGGGCCAGCCGGGCTGGGGTCTCCTTGCTCAGGAAGTCCCACACAGGCTTGGAGACAGTCACTTTATTCTTGCAGGTGCCTCCACAGGCTGCCATTCTGGACAGGACGAACGACACTGCCCCCAGGGTGAAAGGGACTCAGGGTGGGGGGTCCCCATTTGACAAAATCCGTGCCTACTACCTCAGGTTGCTTTCGGGCCCTTTATCACCTCTACTGTCCCACAGTCCAACCCCTGACTCCTTGCCACCCCAGCTGATTTTCTGTCTCAGAGCTCTTATCTTTCAAATTCTAGCACCCACTAAAGAGCAAGAAAGTTTCTATGACTTTATTATTATCATCGTCTGAGCCAAGCAGCAGTCTTGGTTCTGTTTCCACTCCTCCCAAGATCACAGAAACAATCTGGCCCTCCTCCCTCTGGGGGGGGGGGGACCAGCTTCTTTAAAGGGGAGGGAGACTTTTTTGCTCACTTTGATCCTGAACAGCTTAGAATTGGCATGCAGGCTCGCTCCACTGTCCCTGCTTCCTACTTGTCGACTGTGGGACCTGGTGGGTGGAAGGGAAAAGGAGGGAAGGTGAGATACCCCCCTACCCACTTTCCGCATGCTCCAACCCAGCAGTCCAGGTAACGGAAGACTGGGAACCTGGGTGTAAGTTACTGGGAATGGGATTACTTGGCACATGGAATGGAGGAAACCAATTTAAAGGTGAAAGCTGAGTTCCCCTTGGGAGGCAGATACCTGGAAAGCCCATGGACAGGAGCAGTAGAAATCCCTCTATTGCCACACTCAGCTGACTAGGACTGGGGGGAAGGGGGAGAGTAGAAAGGAAAGGGTTATGATGACAAAGGTGACCGTGCCCCCCTCACCCCCACTCCGCCAGCAGCCCAGAAACAAAAACTCCTCTTCCATTTCCTCTCCTCTCCTGCAGAGCTGCATCCCCAGCCTCTCCCAAGTTGTTAAAGGTGGAACTTCAGCATGCTAACTTTCCTCTTCTCCTCCCCAGCTCTGAGGCTCTCAAGAAGGCCTAGGGCGCAGATGAGAGAAGTCAGGAAGGGAAAAGCCCCCCCCCCCCACGGAGGTCTTTCTTGCCACCTGCCTCGGATCACGCGGGTGAGAAGCTTTCCTACGCTCCCCAAGTCGTCACCCTGCCCCACGTCCCCCCACAGTTCAGCCCCCGTCGCTAGGGAGCCTTCCTTGCGGGCCAACCCGGGGTCCCTTCTGCGGGAGTCTGTTTGGAGGCGGGCAAAGTGGCAACAGCCCCTAAGTAACGAGGTTCTTGCTGTCGCCTTTGTAACCCCGCGCCTGGAGCAGTAAGGCCGGCAGCAACCGGGTCTGCAGGCGGGAGGGTGCGGCTCCGCGGGGCTCGGCTGGAGGAGCCGGGGCTCCCCCGAGTCTTACCGGGTGCGGCTACAGAGCTGTCCCTACAACGCCTCCAAAGGTGGCTCAAATAGAAAGAGGGGCCGCCAGTGTGGCCTCAACTCCTGGGCTGATCCCAAGGGGAGCGGCTGTGCGGCTCCATCACAGCCCCCTCCGGGCCACATGCACCTCGAGGCCGAGAGAGTGAGGCTGCGGCCCCGGAACCTCCGCTCGTCCTGCGCATCCAAGGCCGCGGGGCCCGGGGCCTCGGGGTCCAGGCTCCGGGTGCCGCCGGCTCGGGAGCGGGGGCGGGGGGGCGGGGCGGGTGCTGGGCCGCGACCCCGCGGGGGGGCGCGGGGCGCGGGGCGGGGGGCGCGGGGCGCGGGGCGCGGGCTGCTCGGCGGCGGCCCGGACCCGCGAGGCGCGGAAGCAGGCCCGCGTCGGCCTGTCGCCCGGTCGGGGCCCGCGGGCGGGGAGCCTGCCGCGGGGGCGCCGCCCGCCAGCCCAGGTGCGGGCCGCGGCGCGGGGGGCGCGGGGCCGGCGGGGGGCGGGCGGGGGGCGCGGGCGCGGGCGCGGGGGTGTGGGGCGCCGGGCTCACCTACCTCCCGTCAGCGCCGCCATTGCCGGTCACATGACTGAGGCTGTTGCCGGGATGACGGTCGGGGCCTTAGCAACAAGGGGGGGCGGCCCGGGGGGCGGGGGGCTCCGCCGAGGGTGCGGGCCGGCGCGAGGGCGGCCCCGGGGCGGCGGGGGGCGGGGGCTGCGCCCCGGGACGGGGACGGGACGGAGGCGGAGCGCGGGCCGCGGCGGGGAGGGGGCGGGGGCGGGGGCGCGGGACCGGGCGCGGCCTGGGTCGTCCCCCTCCCGGGCCCCCCTCGGCCCTCGCGGCGGGGCGCCTTCCGCGGGGGGGCGGGGGCGCGGAGCCCGGTGCGGCCTGGGTCGCTGCCCGCCCTCGGCCCTTGCAGCGGGCTGCGGGTGCCTGGGGGGGGGGGCGGCTCTCTGTGATCCGCCTGCTGCTGCTAGAAGCGCCGAGGAACAATCTAGGACGGGCAGAGCCACAGTAAGGAAAGCCCTGGTCCTGGAGGAGGAGAACCACCCCCACGCCCACACTATTTCCATCCCTTCCCGGGGCGCTCGCCTTCTCCTAGGTTGTGACCTTCTGTGACCCCCGCAACCTGCCCGCAGGCGGGGCTGGGTGAGCGCCTCCGACTTTCCTTTCCACCAACAGGGATCCTGAGGCTAGTGCAGAACGGGAAGGGAATACAGGCCTTAAAAAATGCCTTGGGGGGGATGGGGGTGGGGATGGGGGTGAGGGTGGGGGTGGGGGTGCGAAGTCTCTGGTACAAGCAGAGTTAAAAACGCTCCAAGAACAAACAGCTCTGCTCTGCTCTGCTTCCCACATCAGAGCGCTCTCCGCCCCCGGGCCAGCTCACTTCCCTGGGGCCACATCAAGCCAGGTTTTTCCACCAGCCAAAGGCCTTCTCAGCCAAACAGCACTGGATCTCCCAGGCTGGCAGCAGCCTCTATTTATCCACCACTCTCTTCACTCCCCGCCCTGGGCTGGAGGGCTGGTCGCTTTCTCCACTTTCCCAGGACCCTGCTGTACTCTTCCCACTCTCCAGACAACAGGACATCTTTCCCAGGAAGCCTGGGGGGAACACCCCGTTCTTCTTTTAGCTCCTGTGAGCAAGTACAAGTGAGGGAGCGTGCTCTGAGGCTCACTCACCTTTACAGGAGTGACTGTGTCATCAGGCCCAGAACTGGGGGGGGGGGGGAGGGAGCGCCCCATCAGCCCTTCTCCCTGGCCCCCCCATACGTGGACTCCCACAGAGCTGGAGAGTAAGTTTTCCATTGCCATGCACACCCCTCACCCCCTTTTAACTAGAAACCCACATTCTTAAGTAGGGGCCCCACATTTTAAAGATGGGTAATTCTTCATCTGGTCTCTGCACCCCTAAGCACAGGGTTCCTCAGAAAAGGGGGGGGAGGAGGCATGTCTGTGAAGGAATATGGGTTCAATAATTTATTTCCTATACAGTGACAGTGATGGGAGTAAATACACAAGATCTTTTTTATTAATTAATAAAACAAAAAAGATGAAAAACAGAAGCAACAAAACGAAGACCATTCTGCTCATGATACATCAGCCACATGGTCAGAAAACCAATTTCTAAAGAGCAACAGCTGCTGGTGTCATGGAGTTTTATTGCATTCAAAAGGGGAAGGTAGATGGTTGGAATGAAAAAGATCAGCAGGCCCCTGATGGGAAGATATTATAGGGGCTCTAATTCTTAACTGTGGACTCCTCTTGTTACTTCCTTTGGAGAAGATGAAGGGGAGAGAGGAATTCTCCTTTATGACTGTATGACTTCCTGTGAGACAGATCAGTCCAGCTAGATACAGAGCAAAGAATCTTTGCATCCCCACAGGCCAGTTGCTGGTGCCCATCTTTATGTTTTAAAAAAGTGCAGAAGCCATAAAGGGGATGGAGGGTAGCAAGAATGGCTGCCTTAGCCCCAAAGGTATCAGGGGTGGGGAGGACACAATCTGGGCCCTCAGGGTCCTCTATACTCTGAGACTACCACTTCTCATTTCAACTCTTTGGAGGGGGCCGGTGATTGAGTTATGGCTCTGACTCCTCTCTGGGGGTGGAGAGTGAAGATGACAAAGAAGTCCATCTGTCCCCTGGGAGACATAGTAGCAGTATAAGACAGAAAAGAACAGAATAACACATCCAACTGGAAAAAGGGCTTGAGAAGGGGTTGGGAAGGAAGTATGCTAGGTGCACATCTCCAAGGAGTAGAGGAGGTTCCCGCACTTGAGACGTTCATCCTCTTGAAATGACCAGGATGGACCCAGGTAGAGATATTTCCTCCTGCTAGGGATAAAACCTCAGAGATGGCTACACGTGAAGAAAGGAAATTTAGCATTGGGAGTGAACCTTACACCCTGGCCCATCATCCCAGCCTCCAAAACTGCCCCCACCCTCGCCCCCCGCTGAAGGGTTCCAGCCTTGGGAGGTGTGGAAGGTCCTGGTGAAGAGCAGTAGCAGTCAAACATCTTCACCCAGGCTAGAACGGTTTGGCCATCTCTAGGTTCTTGTGCCCAGAAGTACAGGGGCAGGGGTTGGAAGTAGGGTGAGGGAAGAGTTTGGAGAGTAGTAGTCAATTCTTGACAGACACCTTTTCCAATTCCCTGAATAATTTCAAGAGTCCTCCTGGGTCCCACCTCTGTAAGGCACCAGCTGGCTCACCGCTCCCCACCCCATTAGTGTGTAAAATGGGCCATAACCCATCATATGTGTGCATGCCAGCACCCACACCTGTAGTATCTTAAAAGTCCTCCATCCCAGGGTCTACCAGGAAGGAGGCATGCCACAGTGAGTTCTATAAAGTTATCAGCAAAATTCAGACACTCTTAGTTCATCCCACCAGCAAAATGCATCCAGAGTAGTTGCTTGAGCCAGGTCCATCCGTCCAGTCAGGTCCTGAAGATGGCAAGTAATCCCCTTCCCCCATCTCCTCCTATGTTCTAGAAACAACAGGACATTTGCAAAGATCAAGGCACTTGGGAGTGAGTCAACAGTAACACTCTAATGAAGCAAGCAGAATTGCTGGAAAGGAGGGAGAAATGGAAGAAAGGAGGGCGGGTGGGGGGGGACAGGACAGTGTATTTCTGAGGGTCAGGAAAAGCCTAGTCAACAAGATGGAGTTGTGTGGGTAGAAGGAGCCTGTAGCTGGAATTTAACAAAAGAGGAAGAGAAGTTGTAGTGGTCAACATATCCACAGCTCCCCAAGCCTCTCGGAACCCTGCCACCTTGAACATAAAGCAGCATGGAGTCTGGTAGTCTCTTAGGCAAAGATGTTGGTAATAAAATCCAGGAACCGCTTAGCATACTGCTCAGGATGGACAGTGGAGATCTCTGCCCCAGCCTGCGAGAGGAGGTAGGAACACAGCGTCAGGCACCCCACCACCCCTCCCCACTCCGCAGCCTCCAGTCCTCCCCACACCACTTCCGCACCCAGCCCTTCGTCCTTTTGCCACCCCATTGCTCCCGTACAAAAGGCTCCCTCTGTTCCCAGTCAAAAGATAGGAAAGGATTTGGGGGAACCCTCACCCCGTGCTTGACAGTTTTGGCTGCGTGAGCTGCTTTCTTCTTGGCATCATACTGTGTCAGGATGTCAATGAGGCCCATGAAATACACCTCCTTCTGGGGGGCCCCTGGGGAAAGAAAGCAGCAAGGAAGAGCAAGTATAGTCCCAATTCCCTCTTCCCAAGAACCAGTCAGATCTGTTTTGAAAAGCTAACCGGCCTCTCTCCCACCACCCTGGCTGGTCTCAGTCCCCTCACTCCCCCAAGGCCAACCGTCCCCACCACCAACACCCTTAATATTTCCAGGATTTCTCTCACCCTCAGCACTCCGGATGGCATAGACATCAATGAGGGACTCAAATTCTCCAGGGCCCAGGGGCCGGTGAGAATGGATGTAGCTGCCAATACCCTCAGGGGAGGTGCCATAGGAGCCCACCAGAGCAGGTGGTCCTGTCAGGTCACAGTCTCCATCCCCCTCTGACTCCTCCTCCCGCACAGGTCCCTCCTCCTCTGGGTCAGAGCCCCGAACGATGTCGTGGATGCCCAGCAGAAGGCTGTAGTCCATGATCTTCAGCTGCACTAGGAACTGAGACCCCACTGGCAAATCAGATACCTCAGATCTCCTTCCCTGCTCCCAGCACCACACCACCCTTATACCTCCCCTCTGAGCTTCAGGGGCCCTCCTGGGGAAAGGAAGGATGAAAATTGAGGGTTGGGAGTATACCACTGCCCTTTAGTACATCAATGTCCTGGTACCTGAGGTCATCCTTTTAGTCAATTCTAGCCATCCCCTCCATGGGTCACCTCTAAGGGTTTTTTCATGTCCCATACCCAACTCCCCTACATGCAGAGAACCCAAAGAATGGGAGAGACAGCTGCCGGGGGGGGGGGGGGGAGCGCAACAGGAAACAGCCATTTCCCAAAGCACCCCGATCATCACTCACCTCCACATCTCTCTTTAGCTTCTCTAGAAATACTTTCTTCTCCTCTTCACCAATATAAACCTTCTGGTTCTTGTTGAGAAAATCCATATCCTTAAGGGTGGGCAATTCTTTAACCTGAAAATAGGTAAGGGGAATCTTGGGAATACAGCCCTTCCCTCAAGGTCTCAGAGAACCATGCTCTCTTCCTAGGGCTCTGTGTAACTCAGTGGCCTTGAGGGGAGAGAGATCTCACCGCCCCTCTAACTGCACACTGCCATGCTGCCCAGAGGCCGTTCTCCGCTCTTGTGGCTTCTCCAAACTCAGTCGCTGCAGCGGTACCCCAAATCACATCCCACTACCGTCTGCTTATGGTTTTCAGTCAAGACCTCACATACCGCCTTTCATTCTTCTTAAGCAGAAAATAGCCGCCTGAATACAAGAACCCAGAGCGGGGGGTAGAGGGTAAGCATTTCGCTCTCAAAGTTTGTCTTTATCCATAGCCACACCTTCTACACGGGCTAACCCATGCCAGTGAGAAAGCAGCTGCTCCTGCTACCCATTCCAAACACTTAATCCCAGCATCAGCACAAGTTTACACCTCTCTTCTTTTTGGTGGTTTAAGATAAGATGAAATAGCTGGTGATCCCTACCTCTATCCTAAGGAGATCCCTTTATCTGCCCTCCCTCATCCCTCACCCTGTCACCTAAAATTAGTATCACCTTTTCCTTATCGCTGGCTTCTCGGGACACTAGGGAGCCCTGTGGAGAGACCCAAAGACCAAGTCAGCAGAAGTGGCTAAAAGTTGTTAGGATCCAGCTCCTAAGAGGAATATTCACACCCACAGTCTTCTTTCCTTTGAAATGAACCATCTCAGTGCCCTCCCAGGCCCTTCCCCACTCTCAGGCTATCAGGAGCTTCTCCCTCAGCTAGCCTCTCCTTACCTTGAGGTCATACTTCCTGTGCACAGGAAGACGGTGGCTAAACATGTTGCGCATCACAAGCATGTAGCTGTCTTCATTGTCCACGCTAACTCGGTACATCCCCAGGAACTGGGGCAGCAGTGTGTTGCCATGGCACTTCACAATGTACTGGGGTAGAAGGGAGGAAGGAATGGGGAGAAGCTGAGGAGTAAATGCACAACCAGCCCAGGGATGGGAATTCAAACACCACCATTCCGGAGTAGGGCAGATAACTTCAAGTAGAGAGATTACAAGATCAAAAGTGCGGGTGGGAAGCGCCTGGGTGGCTCAGTCAGTTGAGCATCTGATTCTTGGTTTCCACTTAGGTCATGATCTCAAGGTTGTGGGATTGAGCCCTGCAGAGCATGGAGCCCAGCTGGGATTCTTTCTCTCTTCCTCTTCCTCTGCCTTGCCCCACCCCCACCCCCAGGTGTACCCCTGCATGAATGCTCTCTCTCAAATAAATAAATAAAATCTTATGGGATCCCTGGGTGGCACAGCGGTTTGGCGCCTGCCTTTGGCTCAGGGCGCGATCCTGGAGACCCGGGATCGAATCCCATATCGGGTTCCCGGTGCATGGAGCCTGCTTCTCCCTCTGCCTGTGTCTCTGCCTCTCTCTCTCTTTCTCTGTGACTATCATAAATAAATAAAAATTTTAAAAAAAAATCTTAAAAAAAAAAGTGGTGGAGACTTGTTAAAGGCATCTGTGGTATCCATAAGTTTCTGAATCCCCATCTCCTGATTTATTCCATTTGTATAATGTCTCTTTATTTTAAAGCTTTTATTTATGAGAGAGAGAGAGAGAGAGAGAGAGAGAGAGAGTGAGAGAGCATGCACACATGCACAGGTAGGGGGCAGAGGAAGAGGGGCAAGTAGACTCCCTGCTGAGCATGGAGCCCAGCTCAATCTCAAGACAGAGACCATGACCTGAGCCAAAATCAAGAGTCGGATGCTCAATCAACTGAGTCACCCAAGAGCCACTAGACTCTCTATTTTTTTTTAAAGATTTTATTTATTTATGAAAGACACACAGAGAGGCAGAGACACAGGCAAGGAGAAGCAGGCTCCATGCAGGAAGCCCGATGCGGGACTCAATCCCAGGACTCCAGGATCAGGCCCTGAGTCAAAGACAGACATTCAACCGCTGAGCCACCCAGGTGTCCCTCTCTCTATTTTTTTAAAAAAAGATTTTATTCATTTATTCATGAGGGAGAGAGAGGGGCAGAAACATAGGTAGAGGGGGAAGCAGGCTTGCCGTGGGGAGCCCACTGCAGGACTCGATCCCAGGACCCCAGGATTACGAACCGAGCCAAAGGCAGGCGCTCAACGGTTGAGCCACCCAGGCATCCCTAAACTCTTCAAGTACAAGTGGTCACAGAACCAGGATTAGAGATTACATCTGCTTACCATGAAATGATTTTACCTAGACTAACATTTCCTGGTGGGCTACGTTCCCATAGTAAAAATGTTTGCATGATGGCTTATAATTTGGGATTCTTAAAAAATGACTCATCTTTTATACTATTGTCTCTGTCAGCATTGCTGCCTTCTTCCCCTAGAGCCAGCCTTCTCAGAAAAGTAGTCCGCAATGAATCCACTTCCTTTCACACCTTAAACCAGTGAAATCAAACTCATACTCTCATCTTTCCTCTGAAATCTCTCTACTTCTCCCTTCCTCAAATCCCTCAGTTGCCAAATCATTTGGTATTCATTTTAGTTATTGGTGTATTTCAACTCAGGGGCACTTGATACTCCCAACCAGACTCTCCCTAGAACTCTCTTCACCCTGGGCTCCCCCTATGCCACTCTTCCAATTCTCTTCCCCTCTCTCCTCAAATCCCATACAGAACAAAGGAGGGTACCTGACAACTCAAACTCTCCTTTATGGGCTCTTCTAATTGCTTCATTTCTTCTCCATAACACTTCCTATCAATAGCCTATATTTATAGTTTTAAATACCATCTATTACCTGTAACTCTCAAATCTACACTTCTACTTTCCTGAACTCCATTCCCCAACCACTTATGGAACATCTACATCTGAATGAACTGTAGAAACCCTACATTCCACATGTCTAAATCAGAACTGTCTTCTCCCCAAAACCGCTTTCTTTTTGTGCTTCCCAACTGTTAGTAAATAGACACCCGGTTATCCCCAGCCAGGAATCTGGAGGCACCTTTGCCTTAATTCCCCTTAATTCCCCCGAGTCTCCCACGAGTCTTCCTCTGCCTCTCCACTGCCATCGTTCCTCCACCCTCTGTCATTCCTCATCCAGACTATTAGCATTACCTCCTACCTGGTATCTTCACTCCTAGCATTCCCCTATCCAACCCATTCTCGAAAATGCAGTCATGGGACTATTTCTAAATAACATACCGCTCTCTCAGCTCTGTGCCTTTGCAAGTTGTCCTTTGCCTAGAATGCTTTCTTCCACCTTGTCTAAGGAGTCCATACTAGTCTTTCAAGAACCGACTCCTATAATCCTTGCTCTAACAAACTCTCCTTGAACCTCCCAGTGCACTTCTTTCCCCAGGTAAACTAGGATGCTCTTCTTAAGCACCCCCACAGCACTCTGTACATCCCTCTACTACTGCACATCCCACTGTGTTTATGTTGGTTTCCTACCCTCTGCCATGAGGCTGAGAGATCCCTCCAGGGCCTCTTCCTCAGTCACCTCTTTCTCTACTGCCTAATGTAGGGCCTAGTGATAACGGAGATTCAATGTTTGTTGACTAAACCAATCATTTTTCTAGTCTTTCATTTATTCCTTGCTAACTGACTTTAGGGGGATTTTTTTTTTCCATTAGAAAGAAATTCAGGCAGTGTTTTTATCACTGAAATATTCCGGAAACTGCACGTTTCAGGTTAATCTCATCAGACAGAAAAGCCTCCCTAATCCCACTCAGGACTGGATATGATCATGCTTCTCCCCTTCAGTTTATCCCCAATTGTGTACTTATCCTGCTTTTCTCCTAGAAACCACATTTATTCCTGACAGTATATTGGTGTTAACAGTTCACCTAATTCTGGCTTAGTCTACAGTTGATAACCGCTATATGTGTACCCTTGATGTATCAATCCACAGCAGTTTGGGATCCTAAATACCAAATGAGAAAGGAACATGTCTAACTTCTCCTATTTGGTCAAACACAAAGAGGTGTGCAGAGGCTTTTTCCGAAATTCCTAGTTTTCAAAAACATGATGTCAAGTGCTCCTTGGGCAGCAAAATGGGTTGTAGGGAAAAGAGAAAAGTTTCCTAATGTTCTCCAGCAGCAAAGCTATGAATAGAGAGGAGAGGGAAAGAACGAAGCTGGAAAGCCGCCTAACCTGGTGGTAGTTCGAGAGGTTGCTATGCATGTCAGCAATGTCCTCACTGGATACTTCTTTGATGACCAGAGTTCGATCGTAGGAGATAAGGAAGCGACCATCGCTGCCTTCACTTTCACTCGGGGGACTTCGGGTGAGGGATACCTGGGAACACAAATAGGTCAGAGGCTCTTTTCCTCTTTGAATGGAGATGCAATCATAGGATAATGGTCAAGTGAATGTATCCGAAAGCGGATAAAACCCTTGTATGAAAGGTGGAGCAGGGGTTCTTCATCTGGACTGAAAGAATGTGAAAGCAAAAATTTTAATGTAGCTACATTTTCCCCAAGGACTGGGTTAACACCTTTCATCAGACTTTTTTAACGCCTTTCATCAGATTTTTGAAGAGGCCTTGTGACCACAAATAGGTAAAGAATCAGACTTGCCAAAGCTCTCATTTCTCTAAACATGACTGGCCCCAGGATTCCCCGCTTGTCGTGGAGAAAGGACACCCCTCACCCGAAAAGGACTCTCACCAGGTAATCTTGGTCATCAATGCCAAAGCGATCACGGAGGTTCCTGAAGACCTGGGGGCAGTACTCCTTGAACTTGAAATGACTAGGCAGGTTTTCTCTGAAATAGGGGTTTTCAGGGTAAGAAAACAAAGGAACAGCAGTATTACATTTATATGTGGCTTGACAATCTACAGAGCACCTTCACACATTTACCCTATATGATTCTCATGAAGCTATTGTGAAGGCCTTTAAAGGTATATTATTCCCATTTTACAGGAGAGATTGGGGCTCAGGGTCGTTGAGTGACCTGCTTCAAACAGAGAACTGATAAGTAGCTTAAGTAGAACCAGGATCTAATGCCCGTCTAAACAGCATCATTTCCCAAATCTCATGCAAGTTCGAGATATCCTAAAATCCGCAATAGGTGCGACTGTTCTGAACGGCATCTTCTGATACCAGAAGCACCTAGGAGACTAAGATACTTCTTTCAGGGAGTCTCTATCAGAAGCTAATGGTAAGAGCATCTAAATGTAATTACTCTGTGGCTAGATGAGAAACAAAGTAGTACAAATATATCAGAGTATAGAGAACACTGGAAGTTACTTTAATGGTTTTGTTGCATGATACTGAATTTCTGCTCTGGGAAGGGGGTTAGAACGCAGAACTTGCAAACTGCCTTCCAAATCTAAAACCTTCGATTCACTGAATCTTAACTCTTAAAATTATGTATTACTCTCTTCTAGGAAGGTTGACAAGAGAAGAGCAGGGATCTCCACATACCTGTGGAAAAGGTGATTGTTGACCTTGATCTTGGAGCTCGCCTTAAAGTCGTCTGGCAGCAGCATCACTGGGGGAGGCACCTGGCTGAGCTCATTGATCTGATAAACCGAAACAAGAACAGGGAGCCAGTGAGGAGGGGTGTGGAGAGCTACTTCTACACTGCTTCTGGGCAAGAGTCAGAAAAGGCAACTCAACCCTTGTTCATTTAGGAACCCGAGTTATGCAACTACTTGCCAGAGGTGAGAGAATGCATCTGACCCCTTCTGCTGCCCAGCAGGGACTGCAGTCAGCAGCCCCCACACACAGCCCCTCACACTCCACCCCCATGGAGCTTCATTCTCGCAGCAGTCATTTTATATTAGGCAAACCCTGTAAGCAGCTCAGCACTATTTTTAAAGCTGTGAGAAGTTCTAAAGGGAAAAAAATACCCTCAGCAGACTCAAAACACTCAAGACAAACAGTTCCATGCTCCATTAAAAACAAAACAAAAGGCGCTTTTTTTTTAAATGTACACAAGAGAGTTAATGGGACTCTGAGGAGCCTGCAGCAACCAGAATGAGATGTCCACATCCTGCAGGAGGCATCTCCTTACAAACAGACCACCCTGACCCACGTCTCTCCAGTAGGTCCCCACCTGCCTGTCAAGTAAAAGAAGAGCAGCTGACTTCAGAGGGGGTGCATGCAGGCAGGCAGAGGATATGAGCTCATTAGCTGTCTGTTCCTAAAAGTCAAGCCAGGCCACGGCCCAAAGGATGCAAGCAACACACGCTCTCCTTGGCCCCCAGAATCAGCCATCTGCTAATTCTGGGTGGGAAGGGAGTTCCTGCACGAAGAAATCCCAAGAAGATGTGTTTCCTCCCCAGCGTTGCCGCAGTACTGTTCACCCACCTTTAACAGTGCACTTATCACATGACTCTAATGGCTAGTTTATGTAAGTTCACCACCTACATTGTGAGCTCTTCGAGGGCAAGGACCAGCAGTAGCTGTCTGCATGTGTCAGGTGCTGAGCTAGCATAAAGTTCAGCACAGGGGGTCCTGAAGTGTGTATTAGCTGAATAAGTGGAGGCCTTGCCTCCCTTGATCATTCAACAGAGGTGATGAAGTGCAGCCTAACCCAAATGGACAGATTGCAGTGAAACTGTGCTCCTCTCACTCTCAGTAGAAAAGGAGGACAGAACATCTTCCTCCAGGAACCAAAAAGAAAAAGAAAAAAGAAAAGAAAAAAGAAAAAGAAAAAGAAAAGCCACTTGAGATTCCCAGCCTAAAATTCAGCTATAGTTCTTCATGCCCCCTCCTCGCCACCTGCTGTTAAGCAGGCTGAATCATCACTAAGACATATGTTCAAGGAATTCTCCACTCTAGACACTTGAAGTAAATGTGGGTTGGCTAAAGGGTGGGGTGTTGAAGTTAAACTATATATACCTAGGGAAGCTGAGGCAGCCAGCTCTCATGTGTAACTCCTCAATCCTTACCAAAGAAAAATCCTCCTTGGTAAGCTTCCCAAAGGGATGGATGGGTCACCTGTAAAGTCCATCTGAGAGGCAGCCCTACCTCTAAGACATTACCACCCAGGAGCTGGGAGCGGTCCATACAACCACAAATACAAAAGAGCCACCCCCCCCCCAACATTCTAAACCACAAATCAAGAAGGGGACAAAAATGGTCTTCTTCCTCACTCCCTTCCACCTGTCCAACTCCGCCTTGACTACAACACTTCAAGGAGACTGATTTATTCAAGGTCACCGCATCCCTCCCACTCTAAATCTGAGGGTGGAGGAACAACGGCTGTGCTTCCTGCACCTGAGTGAAGGAAAAGCGACGCACTGGGCTGCTTGGCCTCCTCCAGGCCATACCGGCCACCTGTTCCTCAGGGTCCCCAGCAGCGTCCCCAGCAGCAGCATTCCTCAGCCATCCTGTTGGTCACAGGCGACCCCCCGCTGACCCCGAACAGCGGCTCCGCAGCCAGCCACGGGGATGCAGTGAAAACCAAAGGCATATCCCATACATAGTGTCAACGAGGCCCGGGTGGGTGGCTTCTCCGGGGCGCTGTACCTTTGGAAGGCAAAGGCAGGGGCGCGCAGGAAGCCTGGAGCGTCCCCCAGGGCCGAGGCTCCAACACCAGGGCGGCAGCTGCAGAGGAAAGCGAACTGCGCCTCTCCGAGCTGCCTCCCGGGCCGCAGCACCGCCGCCCTGAGCGCCCCCGCCCGGCCTCCCGCCGAGCCCGCCGCGCGCCGCCGGAGCAGCAGGAGGGCAGGTGGGGCGGGCGGAGCTCGAGCGGCGGACGCGGCGCGGACGGAGCCAGGGTCCGTCTCACGGAAGGAACGACGGCGCCGCCTCCTCCAGCGAGGCGCCGCGGCGGGGACACCTGAGGTTGGAGGTTGGGCGGCGGGCGCGGGGGCCGGGGGCCGGGGCGCGGGGGCCGGGGCGCGGGCGCGGGGGCCGGGGCGCGGGGGCGGCGGCGAGGGCTCCGAGGCGGGAGCTGGAGGCGCGGCGGGCTCACCGAGTGGGCGACGCCCCACAGGAACACGCCCAGCAGCGGGTCCGCCGCCCGGAACACCTTCACCTTCTGCTGCACGAAGTGCTTCTTCTTGGTCTTGGAGGCGAAGCCGAAGCCCGGGGCCGCTGCCGCCGCCGCCGCCGCCGCCGGTACGGTGGCCGGCGGGACAGAGGAGGACGCCATAGCCTCCCTAGCCCGCGCAACCGACCGAGGGGACGCCGAGCCGCCGGCACAGCGGGCTCCCGACCCCGGAAGCGGCGCTCACCTGGGCCGCGGTCACGTGACCGGAGGCCCGCCCGCGGGCGCGCAGGGGGCGGGGCTGGGCTGGCTCCGCCCCGCGCCGCCCGCCCCGCCCCCCGCGCGGTGGGGGCTCACCTGGCGCTCCCTGCGGGCGGCGGGCGGCGGGCGGCGGGCGGCGGGCGGGCCCGGCCCCGGCCACGGCCCCGGCCCCGGCCCCGGCCCCGGCCCCGGCCCCGGCCCCGGCTTGCCTCGGTCCCCGGCCTGGGCCGCCAGGCTTCACTCCAGGTCGGCGGCTCCTTGGCGGCAATGCCGCTGCCTCCCGGTTTTACCGAGTTTTAGGAGTAACCTCCCGCCCGAGGCTCTACCCCACGAGTGTCCCTTTACCAAGTGGCCCGCCCCTAAGTGGCTTCCATGCATTGTGTGTGTCTCTCACGGGCACCGCCAGGCATCATTCTGCAGGGGGGCTGGACTATTCCGAAAGTAGACACGAAGCGGTGAACTAAGACAGTGGCTGTTGGGATGGAAAGAAGAGTGGCAGCTAAAGGGAGAGTTTGAGGTCAGTTTGGAAAATTCTTAGTGGATGTGGGACTTGAGGGAAAGGGAGACCTTGAGACTGAATCCCAGGCTTCTGGCCAAGAGACCGGTGCTGGTGGCATGAAAAGGGGCAGGTTGGTGAAAAGTTCGGTTTGGAATGTGTTTGAGGGACCGGAGGGCCATTGGACATATGAGCCCAGAGCTCAGCGGAATAAGCTGGGCTGCGGACACAGACTAATTGTGGCATCTGTGGCCGTGGATGACACCCTTCCAGAGAAAGCAAGAACCCTGGTCTAGACCAGCAATTAAGAAGGTAGTGGGAGAAGACTGAGAAGCAAAAGGAACCAGGAGAGCAGGGTCACAGAAACTAGGGAGTAGAGTTTCCAGAAGGAAGGAGTGGCGAGCAGAGTCACATGTCATGGGGGCGAAGCAAGACAAGGATGGCGAAGTGCCCATTGTATTTGGCAACGAGTGACCTTCAAAAAGCAGTTTCATCAGAACAAGAGCCAGTTAGTTCTAGGTGGGCTGAGGAATGAATGGGAGATGAAGAAGTGGGGAGGGGAGGCTTGGGATTTTGGTCAAGAAATCTGGCTGTAAAAACAAGATGAGGAGTCACTTATAGAGAAACAGTTGAAACACACACTTTCAGGGCACACTTGGCTGGCTCAATCAGTAGAGCATGTGATTCTTGACCTCAGGATTGTGAGTTTGGGCCCCACGTTGGGGGGAGAGATGACTTAAAAACATATAAAAGAAACGCACTCTTCAGGGAGACTTTACAAGAAGGGGGGAAATCACAAAGATGCAAACTGCCCACCTGCATCACTTTTAGATACCGTATATAATGGGTCTATGTAAGTATCTCAAGAATGAAGAATCTAGAAGGAACTTGCTTTAGTCCAGAAAAGACAGATTTATCACTTGTTAGGAGAAAGAAAGTAAAGGATTGGTGCAAATACAGGTAAGGGAGTAGGTATGGAGGGCAGATGAAGAATTTCATGCTCAGTTGCCTTAGTTGTTTGCCTAAGAGAGGAGGGGAGAAGGGATCTTTAGAAGTTTCGACCTCTGGGAAGCAAGGGAGGAAACTGAGGAGAGGTACAGAGAAGCAGTGAGTAGCAAACAGGGCCAGTTAGCTTCCTAGGCTTTCAGTGGCCCTGGAGTTTTAGTTGTACACTTTTCTCCATTGTCTCAGAAGCTCCAAGGTATGAAGAGAGAGGGCACAGAGCCCTGTGCTCTAAAATGGGGCTTAGGGGATGCTCAGCTGGCTCAGTGGGTAAAGCAATGTGCCTCTTGACCTTCAAGTCATGAGTTCAAGCCCCACATTGGGCATACAGCTTGCTTACTTAATAAATAAAATAAAATAAAATAATAAAATAAAGTAAAAAAATAAAATAAAATATAAAATAAAAAATAAAATAAAATAATAAAAATAAAATAAAATGAAAATAAATAAAATGTTAGAAGGGTGATTGTGGTAGATGATCTTGGGATAAGAGAACTGAGTGGTTGGCAAAGGAGGGATGGAGTCCCACTGGAGAGGGACAGAATTGACACTGGGACTGAGGTGATGGTCTGGGGGAAAAATGAAGACGATGGGATACCATTTTTTAAAAAAGATTTTGTTTATTTGTTCATGAGAGAGAGAGGTAGAGACATAGGCAGAGAGAGAAGCAGGCTCCCTCTGGGAAGCCAGATGAGGGACTCCATCCCAGGATCCAGGATCATGCACTGCGCCAAAGGCAGATGCTCAACCCCTGAGACACTCAGGCGTCCCAGAATACCATTTTTGGTTAAAAATTATAAACAGGGATCCCTGGGTGGCGCAGCGGTTTGGCGCCTGCCTTTGGCCCAGGGCGCGATCCTGGAGACTCAGGATCGAATCCCACATCAGGCTCCCGGTGCATGGAGCCTGCTTCTCCCTCTGCCTCTCTCTCTCTCTCTCTCTCTGTGACTATCATAAATAAATATGAAAATTAAAAAAAATTATAAACAACCTAGATTGATGTCCACCAGTAGTGGAATGGTTGAATAAATTATACGTTTATGAAAAAATATATCTTTTCTTTTTTTTAAAGATTTTATTTATTCATTCATGAGAGAGAGAGAGAGAGAGAGAGAGAGAGAGAGGGAGCAGAGACACAAGGAGAGGGAGAAGCAGGCTCCATGCAGGGAGCCCAACGTGGGACTGGATCCCAGGTCTCCAGGACCAGGCCCCGGGCCAAAGGTGGCACTAAACCGCTGAGCCACGCAGGCTGCCCCTGAAAAATTACATCTTTTCTAATGAGGTAAATTTTTTTGATTCATTTATTTTGAGAGAAAGTTAGAGAATGGGTGAGCAGGGGGAGGGGAAGAGGGAGAGAATCTCTTAAGCAGACTCCCCACTGAGTGCAGCCCAATGATCCAGAGATCATGACCTGAGCCAAAACCAAGGGTCTGTTGCTTAATCAACTAAGCCACTCAGGCACCCCTATTTTAATGAGATAAATCTATGTATAATGACATGAAAAGATCTCCAGAATATACTGTCAGGTGGGGAAGAAAACAAATGTGTGTTGTAAATATATAGAAAAACATCTAGAAGGATATATACCACACTGTCAAATGCCATTACATACAAATCAGGGAGTGAGGCTGAGGAGAGATTAAGATTGACCACACCACAGAATCATCATTGAATTTATTTTATTTTCAAGGTATCTATATACATCAAGTAAATACACACTGGGGTTTGTGCGGTTTGGTTTGTCTTCCACGCTGGCATGCAACATTTTGGCAGATGTGAGTGGGCAGGCCAGGTGTCCCTTGTGGTGACCCTGGCTCTCTGGAAAGGGCTGCTGTAGTGGCAGGAAGGGTTGGGGGGGGTGTAGAGTGAAGCTTCTGGTGAAGGCCTTGTGTGTGTGTTTCTTATTTATGTAAGTGAATTATATTTCCCTTACATCTCTCTCCTTATCTGCCTGAACACCTTCACGTTTTCTTATGTGTTTTAAAAGAATCATTTGGTGGCAAGATTACATAAAGTCCACTGGCTTCTCAGGTGCCCTGTTGGCAAATATTAGCTCAAGTCTACAGGTGCACAGACATCTTCCTTCTTCTCTCATTGGGCCTTTCCCTCTTTGCTCTGAGTTATGTGCTTGGGGCAGGGGAGCCAGGCTGAACCCCTCTCCTTCAGAGCAGTGGTTTGCAAACTACTCTACCTTCAGGTTCGAACTCTTAAGACCACTCAAGAGCTCCTTCACTAATGAAGCATTTTCCACCAAATAAAGAAAATGTAAACTGCTCAGGTCTGCATCACTTTGGGTTATTTTTTATATCAGGGTTCTATATAAGATTTGTCTTAAAAAATGTTTGAATATCACTGCCTTGGATTTACTCTTAGATTTTTCCCTGCATTTTTCTATAATTGCTAAGAGGGGCCCAACAGGTAAAGGAAGAAGAACTTTTTCCTTGAAGGAGTTCCAGGCCAATATAGCCTGTGTTTACAAGCTGGCATTCACACCAAGCTTTCTTTCCTCCCTTAGAAGCTAGGTGATGGTTGCCTTGCTGCTGGGGAATCCTGTAAGTAAGACTGGGTATCTGGACACCAGACTTCCTTGATTTGACTGGCTTGTGACCTCCTCATTCCATCCCTGCAGTTACCTAGAAAACCACCTTAGCACCATGTGGAAGGAAAGGACATCTAAAACTAAAATAACAGTTCTATCAATTATATGGGGCAGTGTTGGGAGGAGGGTACTCCCCTCTAACTACCCTCCCCCAGTCTAGAAAATCTGCTCTGCCTCTTTCTTTAAAGTGCACTTAATGCCAGATGGCGACATTATCAAAGGAATTCTGTCCAAAAAAAAATTTTAATGCATTATGGGGAAAAGTCAGGCTCTAGCCTGAAAGGAAGGCATCTTGAGATAGATATTTTGCCAATGAACTGGAAGGTCCCAAACCAAAAGATGGAGATGGGAAGAACATGCAGCCCAATATGGGACAGAGAAAGGAATCCAGCTCATCACTGTGGCAAAAAATACTTGGAATTTCTCAGCCTGTTCACCCTCAAACCCAAAGAAGCAATCACCTGACAGATGAGCATCCACTTGGCAGACTGTTGGACAGGGTCTGCCTCCTCAAATATTCATATTCAAAATATTTTAAAGCAACTCTAGGTTCTCTTCATGAGTTCTGGGGCAGAGAATATCAAAAGGAGTTTTGAGGAGAAAGGGAAATGGTCCCTTGAACAATCCATGTCCTGGGTCATTGGGGCAGGGGATAGAGGGACAGGAAGAGAAAGGCAAAAGGTATACTTTGGAGGGTGGAGTTGCACACCCAAACCCCTTCGGTTCAGTCGAGGGGTTATATGAAGAAACCTCTACCTGTAATTTAGCAGTTCTTCCATTTTACCCTCCCCTGTGTATATGTGAAAGAGGAGGGAGGAAGAATCTATTTCTGTATTTTCTTATGATGCTAAGACATTCTTCCGTTTAAGGCTTTGTGTGTGTGTGTGCGTGTGTGTGCATGTGTATGTATGCGTGTGTGTGCGTGAAGGATCACAGCCCTCTAGCTCCCATTTTTTCCTTTTATCATCTCCATGACTAATACCACTCAGTGTGAGAGACGCATGTTTGAAAGAAGAAACATTCACCCTCCTCCCTATTGCCCCAAATGAGGAGAGTATACTATGCTTAGAAATTGCTAAATACATCATTAGATACTTAGAGAGTGAGACAGAGAGGAGAGAGACATAGCAGCAGCTTTTGATATATAGATACAGAGTACAAAGAGATACAGAGTAAGAGAAGACATCAAACAGTACAGTTGAACAACGAGGGTTGGGAGGGAGTTGTTAGTATCAGAGACCACAGGTTTGCAGCATGCTGAGAGGAGAGGCCTCAGTCCCTCTTAGAAACTGGGGAAGAAAGAGAAAGAGGTTGTGAGGAACCACCTTGCAGTCCAGCCACTCAACAGGAACAGGATGGCATTTTGCACAAACTTCGACTTGTCTTGTTCCTTTAATATGGACACGACTCTCCCAGCCCCTGCTCCTCTACCTAGCCCTTCTTCTTTCTTCCCCATCCCTACTTCTTGCTCCTCATGCCTTTCTGTCCATGTGTGCCTGACCTATTATCCTGGAAAGCCTCTGGAGAGGGCTTGGCTTGGATGCAGCCCAGTAAGAGACTGGCCATATTCTCTCATTTATAGTTCTCCAAAGATCCAGAGTGGACCATAAAACAGGCTCCTAGTGTACAGTCCTAAAGCAAGTGAGAAGCCTGGTGACACCCAAGAACCAGGAAGGTGCCTGAGCTGCTGGAAGAGGGGACCTGGGCACAGAGGTGGAATAAGGGAGGCAGAGAGGGGGAACACAGCTATTTTCTACCACCACTGAGCAAGGGGGCAGGGGAGTGCTGACACTGCTCTGTAGAGACAAAAAGTCAGACCTGCTGGGGCATTTCCTAAAGCTTTTGGTGACTTCGTACATAGATAGGAGGTATGTGGGACACTGGTACAGGAATAAAGCAAACACCTCCTTTACTGGAGATATCTTGGTTCAGAAAATACCCGCCCATCCAAAATTATTTTAGAGTGGAGGCAGAGAGGGGGTGGATATGATCTCCTACTAATTAATATCTACCACCTTCCCTGACCTGGGTGTGGCTCTAGGTGGGCATCACCCTCACTCACTGTTTTTGACATGTGACAGTGTCCCCTAGTGGCAGAAAGGCAGTACTGTGGTTACTGCTTTGGCCAAAAGGAAAGCATGAGATTGAGGGGTGGAGCCTGTGGGTCAGTAGCGCCCTAGCCCCTGGGAAGGGAAAGCAGGAGCTGAGGGACAACTATATAAAAGTTCTGAGGTGACGAAAAAGAGCAGGAGAGATAAAGAGGCTGAGGTCAAGACAGGAGGCAACCAAGGCTGGTCAGTGGAAGCAGCCCGAAGCTACCTGAAAGTGCAGGTATGCAGCAGTCCTGAGGGAGATTAGCTGGCTGCCGTCTCTTGGTGCAGAGGGAAAAGCTTGGTCTGGTCCTCAGCTTCGTAGCCGCAGGGCAGGTCACTCCTAAAAGAAGAGACCCAGCAGTGTCAGCTCCGTATACAGGAAAACATTACGGTCACTCTGCTCTCATAGCATCCCTGGGGGACAAGAGGCAGGGACTATTCGGGAATACAAGGAAAACCACGGCTAGAGAGGTGGAGCTGACCCGCCCAAGGTCAAAGTCACAGACTTCCTGAAGGAAGGAGAGAAACCAGGTCATCAGATGGGCATGGCACTACCCAGCCTCCGGAACGGAGTGGCAAGAAGCCACAGAGGGGATTGGAGGAGGGGACGTGCTCTCTGCACGGAGAGGCAGGGGATGCGTAGATCTTCAGGACAGGGTGACGATGAGAATGCTTCTCATGTCCTCCTCCTTCCCCTGAAGGCTCCAGAGAACCCCTAAGTGGGGCATGAGGGGAATCTAACCATTTCTTCTGGTCCCACCCAGAGAACACAGGAGCCATGGGGACTGGTATACCTGTTGTCATTAATATCTGTGGCATTTCCTGAAGGCATCATCAGTGAGAACACAGGATTAGGAGAAGAAAAAAGAGACTGGGTGTTAGAGGCCGTCTCCCCACACCCTCTCTCATCCTACCCCTTAGAGATAAAGGTACGACTTTGGAGTACAGCTGCCACCTGGGTCTGTGGCACTCTATTCTCCACCACCCCAGGTGCACGACCATTTTGTTTGAGAAAGGTCTCCCTGATTCCTGCTGAAGGAAAGGAGAAGGGGCGGCAGGGGAGGTGGGGACAGGCACGGCAACAGGGGGAACTCACTTCTAAGAGTCCAAGACCCTAAAGGGATGGGCAGTGTTCAAGCTGTAGGTACAGGGTCACTTACTTCTTACACTTTTCAACTCTCCCTGGGGATCCCAAAGGCTGGTCACCCATCTTTTTCACTCACCATTGTCCATGTTGGCCTTCTGGTAGGACGCCAGGGGACCGCCAGAAGACGTGGCCCCACTGCTGGTACAGGAGTTTGCAAAGCTGGATGGAGCAAGGAGAGAGATGCAGAAGCCTCTGGCACCCTCCCTCCACTGTGCCCCATAATCCCCTCAGGGATGGAGCCGTACACACCTCCCAGGCCCAGAGAACAGAGGACAACCAAGATGGCCACAGGCTGGGAGGGCAATGCCCACTGTCTAAACAGAGGTGTGAAGAGGCGATGAAGCCACTTAGGGAAAGAATTAAGTGTCAGCCAATAACTGACCCAACCTAGGCCTTCTGGAGTGTAGACAGCCTTGGGTCAGGACTCCCGCCCACGCCTTGGGCCACTCACTACATGTCTGAGGTGGAGCTTGGTGCAGCCTGCAGGTACAAATTCTGGTAGTTCTGGAAGAGGCTGTTGGTATAACTGATGCACTCAGGGCTCCGGGTGCCGTAGGGGTTAGTGGGTGAAGATGCTGGGTAGTGGCCAGGCCGCACAGGTTTGGCTGTGGTAAAGAAAGGAAAATGACGGTGTGGAGGCTGTTTCCCTGCAGTTGCCCTGGTTCTGAAGTCATTTAGCTGGGGCTGAACTGAGTTCAGCTAACATCACTCACTTTTATACATGTGGGGGACGGTAGTGGGGTGATCCTGGGGCGGAGGCAGGGTGAAAAGCGATCATCTAGGTGCTGGACACTTAGGAATTTGCCCATCTCCCCCAGGAGTAATCCCACCTCATCTGCTGCCACCCACTCCCACTCACCAATCTGAGCAGAATGGCCCCGCTTGCCGGAGCTCTTGTACCGAACAGCCTCCTTGATGCGGTCCACCTCCTGCTGGTACCGGCGCTTGTCCTTCATGGCACCTTCCTTGGCCTCCTTTAGTGCACCCTCCAGGGCCTTAACTCTCTCAGCCGTAGCCCTAAGTCGTTTTTTCCAATTTAGGAAGCTCACAACGCAGATCTGCATTGTCACGTACCAGCTGTGGGGTAAGCCCAAGGGAAGAGGCCAAAGCAAAGCCAGCAACCCAAGAGAGAGCCAGCAGTGGAGCGTGGGGGTGCGGGGCAGGGAGAGAGAATAAAGAAAAATCAAGTCAGACAAGACAGAGACCGCATTCTTTCCTCGAAAGGCCTCATTCCCTTCACCTAATTGGTCCTCTGGTTCTCTCCTTCTCCCTGAGCAAACAGGGGTCAGGCATTAAAAAGTCACATCATTTTCTGAGGAGCAAAACGTGCCAACTCCACTGTAGCTCAGAACTCTTGTGGCAGTGTCCTGTTCCCGTCTTTTCTTGGCCTAGCTACCCACACCCAATATCTCATAGCTTGTGCCAGACCAGTAGCCCCAGGGCAACCATGAGGCACCCCTCACCCAGAGATGGCTTTGGAGGCATGCATGGGGCAGGGCGGCAAGAGCACAGGAGCAGTCTGGAAGGTGGATACGGTATTGAGTGCAGGTTAGCTGCAGTGCAGAGCAGGAGCAGAAGCTGGAATGTGGGAGCACCCACCTCATCCCCTCCTCCGTCCCCCCCCACACACATACAGCACCCCATAGGAAGGAAAGAAAATGTTTGAGGTCTCACAAACATTTGTGCTCATTACCTTCACATTCAGGGATTTCCTGGGATGTCCCTCTCCCATTTGATTTAAGCTAGAGAGCAACCATCTTGCAGCCAGAAAAAGACTCCCTGATTTTTTTATAGGGTTTCACACAATGACTGGGGGCTCTCCAGCCTGCAGGAGCCGGCCTTGGAAGATACCAGGTAAGCTGGTGTAGCAGGGAGCCCAGGGAGAAAGGGCAGAGCTGAAAACACATCTGTGCCTCTTTCACTTTGGGCAATTTAAGGATCATAAACAATGCTTTGCTGTCACAGTGGTTCAGCTTAATTAGGAACAGGGCTGAAGGCCTGGCTATTTAAGTTTCTGTTAATTGATAAGTTTCTACACTTCTCTCATTTTCCTTTCTAGTCTTGCGTCTGCTGAGGTAGGACATTATGAGGAGTCCTCCATCATCTAGGGGAGTTGCTTTTGGTCTTTGGGACTTAGAGCAGAGAGAGGCAGCCACTTCAATGAGGAAAATGGAAACAGCCCAGCCCTTGGTTCCTGACACATACTACACTGTGGATAAGCCTGGAGGACATAATGCTGAGTGGAGTCAGCCAGTTACAAAAAGACAGATGCTGGATGATTCCACTTATGTGAGGTACTCAGAGGAGTAAAAATCACAGAGACAGAAAGAAGAATGGTGTTTGCCAGGGGCTGGGAGGGAGGCACAATGGGGAGTTACTGTTTAAGGGATTCCCTTAAACAGTTTTACAAGACGACAGTGATGGGGCAGGATGGTGGGGGTGTTGCACCACAGCATGAATGCATTTAATGCCACTGAACTTAAAGATAATCCTGGTGGTAAATTTTACGTGGGTTTTGTTTTTTGTTTTATCATAACACAAATATTGGGGGGGGGGAATAAGCAATATGACAACAGAGAAGGAAAGTGGACACACAGAAAGGGAAACAGAGTGGTAGAACTGATTACAAATGTTTCTTCCCTTGACTTTCAACTTTTCTGGAATGTTGTTATGTTGTTACACTGCTTTATAATAAACAAAGGGGGAAAGAGGATAGTACCCAAATAAAATAAATGAACTCTGCAGATCCTGACCATTTTGGGATTTTTTTTTTCATTATAGATGTAAGAAAGAAAAGAAAGAAGATGTACCAAGTATTTGCTAAATATGTTGGGCATTGCACTGAAGAATCTAATCTCCAGTTTAGTGAGAATATGAGTTTAAATCAAGTGTTCAGGTGGGTTTGAAAGAAAGCGAATGAAGTACAGATTAGGGTTTATTTTATAAGTCAGTTAGAAGAGCCAGTTGACACGTGGTGGCACCTGTCTTCAAGGCTCAGCCATTTGGCGCTAGCGAGGGGGCTCCTGCTCTGTACGCACCAAACATTTCCTGTCCTGACTCCTTTGGACTGCCCCGTCTACCTCCCCACCCCATACCTTTGAAACCCAGTCATCCACCTAAGGAGCCGCAGCAGCAAGGAGGGGGACAGAGAGGCAGCAACTTAATACACAGGAGTTTCAACCAGCCCCTACTAGGGCCTGGTTGGGCCATCTGGAGGACATCCTTTCATTACCCTGCATGCCTGCCCCAGGCCTAGGCAGATGGAGTTCTCTCCATGAGGGAAAGCCCAACTTCCCTGGCTTCTCCTTGTCCCACTGCTTCCTATCTCTGCCCAGTATCCCTCGTTTGTAGTTACAGGCCCCTGCCTCTGAGACCTCTACCAGTTCCAATCTCTCCCTCCAAATCCATAGGCCTGGGGGATCTCACTTTGAGCAGAGGCAGGTCGGGAGCTTTGAGAAGGGAGAACAGGCACGGAACAAAGAACAAGGTAAAGTGGAACCAAACATGAATAAAGAAGGGATTAGTAAGGAAAGTAAAAGGGAAAAGTGAGGAAAACTTGCAAGTAGATTTTCCTAAATCCAAGGGAGCTCAGAGGATTTGGGTCTCCAAGGCACCTGGCCTCAAGAGTTCTCTTCACCCCTTCCCCTACTCTTACCTGTTTGTGAACCTTTGTAAGCTGTTCCAGGTTGTTCTCAAGAAAGGAAATCTTCTGCTTTTGGGAGTGAATCCCCCCACTGTCCTCGGGCTCCATTTCTGCACTCTGATTAAAGACGGAAGAAAAGATGTGGTTGTCCCACAGCCAAAGAGGGCCAAGACCAGGCCAAGCCAGCTACACTGAAGGCCACAGGGCTTGGAGAAACCTGAGGCCAGCAGACGGTATGAGGGCTGGGAAGATGCCAAGGATGGCACTCACTTTCTTGACTCGAGTCGTGACGTCTTGAACGAACAGCTTGCGAAGGTTGTGGAGGGTCTGGAGTTCCCGGGCCTAGAAAGAATGATGACAAATTGGGACTGGCCAAATACAAGCTCAACCTTTTGCCTCCCAAACTATTGGAATTGTCAGTCTATCTGGTCAGGTGAGTCACTCATCCTTTAGGAAAAGATGTGTCCTGATTATGCCGCAGACTGACTCTGTATAAGGAATGGGGTTATGAAGGAATCAGGGAAAGAAATGAAGCCCCCACCTCACTCTGTTAACTTGGCCCAGAGGGAAACTACTCACAACTGTCTCCTCCAGACCCTTGAGGTCCTGCTTGGACTGTTCATGTCGCTCGTACAGAAATCTGGAGGGAAGAAGGAAATGCAAGAGTCCCTCAGAATTACCTTTCTTCCCTCTCTCCTCCCTCTCCATTCCTTTGGTCTATACTTTATTGTTATTTATTTTGTAAGTTACCCACATTCTCTGTGCAGAAATTAGAAAAGAAAAAAAAAAGTAAGACGAGTTTCATAAAAAGCACATAATTCTGTTACTTACAGATCAAACTGCCATTAACATTCTGGTGTCCGTCTTTTTGGACTCTTACTTCTATGCAGGTACATCCCACAAAAATTTCATGGGATCATACCATTCAACCTGTTTTGTAGCCTTCTTTTCACACTTAACAGAATATCACAAAGATCTTTCTAGGCTGGGGCAGCTAATATTCAATAGAGGTCATTTCTGAAAGTCTCCTTTCTGTTTTTTGGTTTTTGGTGTGTCCTTCCCCACCCCGTCATATGACTCTTCCGAGGCATCTACTTCCTGGGAACACCAGACCCCCACCTCCATTGTACCCTCCCTCCGCTGGTATGAGTGAGTAGCAGTCTGAACCATCACTCACGTCAGTTCCTGGAGTTTGCTGCTCTTCTCATGTTCTTCATTCTTCAGCTTCTCGTAGTCAGCCTGAAGCTTCTCTAGCTCTAACTGGAGCTTCTGATTCAGGCTGCAGAGGGCAAGGAGGTGTTGGAGAGAACAAGAAGGTATTAATGAGGGGTTAAGGAAAGACTGGCTCTGCAAATTGTTTCCTTCTGGTACAAGTGGGTCCAGTCAGGACTGGTGCATCTACGTTTGGATTATCAGAGGCAGGTGCAGGCCACCGTTTGCACAACACAGTGAGGAGCCATGGGCTATCTAATCATAAGAGCTCAAGGAGAAGAACTAGTCCTCACTCCTGTGCCTCCTGGAGTTGGGCTACAAAGCTGCAGCAGCTTTGGGGGAGTGGCACGTGGAAGTGAACCAACCAGACCCTGGGCCAAGAGGGAGCACATGTGTGGCTACAAGGCAAGAAGAACAGCAGAGGCCACCGAGCCTCCCGGGGGGGACTCTTACTCTTTGAGCTCATCAATGGTCTTCTGCTTCTCGTTGATCTCATCCCGGAGCCGGGCCAGCTGCCGGTGATGGGCCTCCCGGTGACTCTCCATCTGCACCTCCAGGGCCTTCTGCAAACAACCCCATCCATGCTCAAAGCCAGACTCCTGGGCAGCAGCTCGGAGGGGGCTAGGGCAGCCCGGCTGGGCCCCAGTTGTCTCCTACACCTTCCCCACCCACCTTCACTTCATCTGCATCCTGTGTGTCCGGCTCCTTGTCCTTCAGGGCCACTTCATGCACAGTTTCTGAGGGAAAGATGGGGAGGGCAGCTTACATCACATCTACCTCCTCTGGAAAGAACTTCCCTCTGAGGCCAGAGCTCCAGGCAGGGCAGGGCACATCTACCCGGTATGGGCCCTCAGGGATATTCTACTGGGTTAGGACAGTCTGATTTGACACAGCAGAAAAAGGACGAATTGAGGGCTTGTGGCTTATGTACCATAAGCTACATGCAAAAGCTTCTGGATTTCAGTCTAATGCATTGGATGAGTGTGCATGTTGGGTGGTTTATTTAGATGTTTGTTACTTTTCCTCCCGGCCCCCTCTGGGATCTCAGATCCCAGGATGAGTAGTTTAGAGTTTTAAGGCCTCACCCTGGGCCTGGAGCTTGGCCAGCTCATCGCTCAGGGAGTCATAGGATTCTTCCAGGTGTCGCTTCTTTAGCTCCACACTCTGCATATATTCTGTAAGTGAGCGGATCTTGGCCTCGTGCTAATGGGGGAAGGGTTGGGGAGAGGAAAAAGAGGAATGGAGTCAAGGACACAGCTCCAGGCAAGTGCAGACTTCAGCAGCTCTCCTCCCAGACCCTCCCTTTCAGTTGCGCCTGCCTGAAGATATGGGGCCAGGGGTCATTACCTCTGAGACCTAACCTTTAGATCCCATCAGCACAAAGAGTGGTATCCTCTCCGAACCTTCACTGCCCTGGCCTGGACCTTCCCTGCTGCCCCAGACTCTTCTGTCTTTGACTGTGGTCGACCCTAGGCCCTAGGTGGATGCTATAAGTCTTATCCCATAGCCACAAAATCATCGTCCTTCCCACGGCATGCAAAGGCTCTCAGTGCTCAGCGCTCACCTGAGAGATGAGGAGCTGGCAGGATGAGAGCTCCCGCCCAGTCACCTCCATCTTGCGATGACACTCGACCTGAAGGTTCTCTAGCTGCCGGCAGCGCTTGACCACAGACTTGACTTCCGACTTGATTTTGCTGATATAGAGTCGGGCCACCGTGAACTCCTCCTCAATGGCTCCACTGATCTCCACCGGCTGCGGGGTGGGGGAGGGCAGGAAGAGGTGCCCCTCTGCTGCAGGGAAGCTTTTACCCATTCCTCTGCATCCTGCCTATCCCTGTACACCCACACACACGGAGATTTGCGTGGCACACATAGTTTCTAACAACTTTTAGCTGCTATCACTTGGCATTTCATATTAACTCTACCTACACCTAAAGATCCAATTCCGACAGTCGCCCTCTCCCATCTTATAAAGCAACGTGATTTGTAGTCAAACTGATCTGCTTGGTCACCCAGATGGGTCACTGTCACTGCCACAGATTTGCATGTGTCATTCCCAACTCTGTGCCTCATTGTTAAAGCCTGCTGCAAGCACATCTCTGTGCCCTCTCTATTCAGCACCCTTTGGAAGGTGAATTTACAGTTGAGTCTATGCAAAATTCTGCTTGTTTTCCTGGTCTAGTTTAAAGGATTGCTTCCTGGCTCTTTGGTCTGCCTTCCTCAGTATTCCTGAGGGCATGGGTGATGCTCCCCTGTACCCCCACCATCTCCCACCAGTGCCCAGAGCAAGAATGACCTGAACAAGGCTGCCACTGCCTCCAGCTCCACTCACCAGCTTAATCTCCCCGTTGCCCACGATGACACTGAACTCACTCAGGTCCTTCATCAGCCCATTCAGCACCTCAGCAATCCGTTTGCGCTGGTGTCCGCTGACCTCTTGTAGCCTCTGCAACTCAGACTCCAGAGCCAGCATGGTGGCCTGGGGACAGCCCCTCACGTCATCCCGTTGCCATCTTCCCACTGCCCTCCCTAACCCAGGCAGAGCCTCCGCCTCACCCGTGACCCCAAGGGCTGCTACAAAGAGAACAGAGGCCCTGCAAAAAGGTTTGGAAGAGATAGGGGTCAGAAGGGCAAAGTGTGGTGACGGGGCTGGAGAGGGTCCCACAGCCCATGGCACAGAGGGGCAAAGGTACAAATGTGCTGCAGCCCCAGGATGCGGAGGTCCCCTGGGATATGGAACATGTTCTGGAGGCAACGGTGCTCTGGGACCCCGGTCAGCCACTCACCACCTTCTGAGACAGCTCATCCACCAGAAGCTGGTTCTGCTGGCTCTTCTCCTCCACTTCCTGGGATTTCTGGTCGTAGTTCACGGCCAGCTCCTCCAGGGCCTGCAGCACCTCCTTCACCTCATCCTTCGCAGCGTCGTTCTCAGACTGCAGGTGGCTCAGCTCCCGCTGGACCTTCTCATTGTCTCCTCGGGTGGACACCAGCAGCTTTGAGGAAGAGGCAAGGCATGTGAGGGGGTCTGCTGCCAGCGGGCCCCTCTATGGTTCCCTGGCCCCAGACAGGGTCTCTCTGGTACCTTCAGAGCTCTAGGAGAGGGGCATGGGTCAAAACAAGGGTGAAGAGGAAGTGGGCTCTAGGCGTCACAGAAGCAGGACAACAGAAGGAAGCAGCACCCAGACTCAAATCCTTTACAGAAAGCCCCAGTTAAGTCCTCCCCAGACTTCCATAGTTCTGGAGGGTGATCAAGCCCTATGCAAAAGAGTAAGCTCTTCTTCCATCTGGTTGTAAAAGGTCTTTTACGCCTTTTAAGGGGACACACTGCTCTCCTCTCATGTCTCATCTTCCTTCCCATTACCTCTTCCTGGTCCAGCATCTGCTGCTTAAGCTTCTCTATGAGCTGGCTCTGCTGGTTGATCTCATCGTCCTGTTGGGAGACAAAAGGAATGGAGGGAAGCTGTTCTTTCCAGGGTCTAGACTTACAGGGTTGGAGGCAGAGGTAGGATCCTGACAAAAATCCAGACAGTTCTGGCTTTGAGTTAGAAACCCCACATCCTAAAAAGAAATTTTTCTTTCAGGCTCTTGCCTCACTCCTGCCCTCACTTTCAAATCCCTTTCTTCCTGGAAGGTGGTATAACCTTGACAATACACAGCAAAAGCCGTTTGGTTAAAGTGCATATCCCCTAACCTAGAAGTCCCACTTTAGTGCTACATTCTAATCAAATCATTCAAAAGCAAAGTTTTATGCATCAGAAGCAAAGATAGTGCTTTCAGACTTACTTACAAGAGCAAGAACAAACTACTAAAAACAAGGAAAACTAGAAGCCCTGGAATAAACAAATGGTTAAATATATTTTGATAAATGTGCTGTTAGGCAGCATTTAAAAAATACTTTTATGAAGAATTGTTAACAAAGTAGAAAATCGCTCCTTATAGAATGTGGAGTGAAGAAATTAGATGCAAAGTTACAGATACAGTGTATCTCGATTGCATGCTCTACATATGGAGAAAGTAGAATGTCTATAGTATTATTTCTAAATGGCAGAATGATAGAGGACTTAAATTTTCTTCTGTATATTTTTATTTAGCTTCTAAGTTTCTTAGTAATATAATTTTTTATTAAATTTAATTCTGGGGGGGATTTATTTCCAGTACAGTTAACATGCATGGTTACGTTATTAGTTTCTGGTATATAATATAGTGATTCGTAATCCTGAATGTTACTCCGTGCTCTCTTCCGCATTTTCAATGAGCATAATTTATCTCTTTCAAAATAAAAAAAAGGCAATACAAACTAATTCCTTAATCCCTCACTTCTCATCCCACAGGCCTCCCCCCTCTGTGCCCTGGGCGTCCTCACCTTGTCATCGAGTTGCTTATAGAGGCGGCGGATCTCTTCCTCATATTTCTGCCGCTCCTCAGGCGCAATGCGCACCACGATGGACGAGTTGTCATTCACAGGGGTCTCCTCACAGAGCTCAGATCCCAGGGCGGCATCATCCCCAGCCAGGCGCTCTGTCTCAGGCACATTCTCTCCTGGCCGAGGGGCAGAACAAGGTGAGGAATGGGAAGAGAGAAAGATGCATCTAGGAGTCCTTCCTCTATCTCTGTGGCCAAGTGTACCTTCAACCTTTTCTAGGGGGTGGGATAAGGGCGGTCAGCCCCCTCTCCCCTTCCCTCATCACTGCTCTACTGCACCCCTCCAGAAACACAGCCCTCCTGGGAGGCTGGCCCGCCCTGAAGGTCCACCCCAGACAGGGTGCCTCTGGTCCCTCGGCCTCCTCCTCCCACTGCCTCTCACGACCAATAGAACCCTCTCTAACCATTGCGCCACCGGCTGAGCTCAGCCTCTAGCTTGGCGATTGTCTCCTTCTGAGCCTTTGTCTTCTCCTTCTCCTTTTCATATTTCTTCTTCCACTGCTCGGCAGTCAACTCCAGATTCACAGAGGCAGTGTTCTTAATGGTCTTTGCCCTGGGTGAGGAGAACGAGGAGATGAGAGCTCCGTTAAGCCTTGCATGACACTGAGGGGAGCTGGCACAATGAAAAGGGACCCTGCCACTAACCGCTGCCCGAACATCAGGGTGGACTTGGTCTCTGCATCGTTGTAGCTGGACGGTGAGCAGCAGATGAACATAGTTGTCCGGCAGTTTCCTCCCAGAGAGTCCTGGAGAATCCGTGTCATTTTGCTGTCACGATATGGAACGTAGCTTTTCTGGGGGAGGAGGGAGACCATGAATCAGAAAAATATTCAACAAGGGAACAGTGTACTTGCTGACTAGGGGTCACACACCCCATGCATTGGGCATGATGAGAGGGCAGCAGTAGGAGAAGATGAGATGGGACACTCACCGTGCCCTCAGCCAGTGCAGAGATCACATTCCCAAGGGCTGACAGTGACTTGTTGATATTCTTTGCCTCGTCCAGCACAGCTCCCTCTGCTCCGGTCTTGCTGACCTACCAGAGTATAAAGGGATGAGTGTGTCATGAGCAGCTGCAGGGGGAGAGAGGGATCTCATGGCCTCTTTCCCATCTAAGGGGATTCAGTCCAAGGAGGGGAGGGGACAGGGAAAGAGAACAGAGAAGGCCCTTCCTGTTACCCTAAACCCTCTTGCCAAAAGCCACCCCCTCCTGCCTACATAGTATATGATCCCATTTATATGAAATGTCCAGAAAAGGCAAATTCACAGAGCCAAAACATAAGATTAGTGGTTGCCAGGAGCTAGTGGAGGGAGGAATAGGGCGTGAGTGTCTAACAGGTGATGAAAATATTCTAGAATCAGTGGTGATGGGTGCACCACCTTCCAAAAATATCCTAAAACCCACTGAACTATATTTCAAAATGGTGAACTCTAATGGTATGTGAATTATACTCCCCCCAAAAAGTTATTTTGATTTTTAAAAGCTCCCCCTGACCAGACCTCCTTCCCTACCCGCCCCACTCCCAGGTCCCCAACCTTCTCGCTCCCTGCCAGGTCCACTAGGTACAGCTTCCCACTGAGCTTCTGCTCGGTCTCCATGTTCTCCTGCTTGATGTTGATGAGGAAGATGCTGTGGCTCCGAGAGCTGTGTTCATTCATGTCTGCAGGACCAAGGGAGAAGCGGTCCCTGTACTAACACCTATGGAGCCGAAGCCCTCACCCCCCAGCTTCCACTGACACTGGCCAATCCAGAGAGAGAGGGCACCTGCCAGGACTAGCCCCACCACTGTGTCTCCCAGGCAGCTGGGTGGCACACACAGTAATAGCCTCTTCTTCTGGAGGACACAGTCTTCCCTTGCTCACTTCTATTCCCTCAGCCCCCAGAGGACACAGACAAGCACCAGACTCCCAGGTGCAAGAGCCCCTTATATCCCCACTCACTGGTGACGGCCACATGACGATTTGATTTCCCCTCGTCAATCACATCTAAAATCTCCTCTGGGCTGGACACAAAGCGTTCAGTACAACCCTGCAGGGGGCAAAGGGAGAGTGACCCATAAACGGCAATCTGCAAATCATATTACCTGCACGCTGATCAGATGACCTTTTAAGAATGTCTTTTCCAAGCCCTCAGACTCTCCCCAGCCCCTCAGCACATCTCACTCCTCCAAGACATCTGCCCTCCAGCTTCCGGGCCTCTGGCCTACCCTCCTGGTCTACTCTTAGTACAGTGACCCACACCCAGGTACCCCTGTCCCCACACTCACCTTGACAAATGGCACCCGATTCTTGTCCTCATGCACAGACAGATTTGTCTTGGTCACTGAATCAAAACAATGCAGAGTAAGCAAGGCTAGCACTTCCACCCCCAACCCCATACCCTATAGTCTGCTGAGACAGTGGTTTCTTTTTCTTTTTTTTTTTTTTTTGACAGTGGTTTCTTCTACATGCAAAAAAGAAGCCCTCTCCTGGGTGGTGCAGTTGGTTAAGCGTCCAACTCTTCATTTCGGTTCAGGTTATGATCTCAGGGTTATGAGATCGAGCCCCATGTCAGGCTCTGCACTCAGTGCGGAGTCTGTCTGTCTGTCTCCCTTTGCTGCCCCCCCCTACCCCCAACTTGTGCCCTCTCTCCCTCTCCCTCTTTCAAACAAACAAACAAATAAATTTTTAAAAAGGAGAAAGACTTTCCCATCAAGCTTAAATCCCCACACCCTGAAAGCTTAAATTTCTTCTCCTCCAGGATTCTAGCCTTAAGGTTCCAGCTGGTCTCAGGGTGTTTCTATATAGGCCTAGGTATTTCAGCTCATCTTCTGACCCTTTTTGCTTTTAGAAATTTTGGTGAATGGAGGCAAGGGACAGGGGTATGAATGTGTGATTCCTCTGCATCTCTTGCCAAGAACAATGTGATCTTTCTTTTCCTTGCTCTCCTCCCACCCCTGCCCACCCAATGGGGCTAAACACCACTCACCATCCAGAAGGTCGCGAATTTTGTCCAGGTAAATCTCAAAGTAAGAAACCTGATCAGGGAGAAAGTGAAGAGGGCCTATCATAAGTCTGATATAGGGATCTCAAGTGAATGTGACCCACTCAACCAGTAGGAGGAGGAGAAAAAGAGCAGAAGAAGAAGAACTGTGGTAAGCAGGGCAGGAAAATAAGTTGGGGTGCCCAGGTTCTCAATGAGTTCATACTAGCTCTTCTCCTCCTACTCCCTCTCTGAGGACACCCCGCTGTTAAACCATGATCACCTTGATATGGAACTCCAGGTTCTCATCCATGGAGTAGATGTGATTGAAGATGTCTCGGGCAATTCGAGGAATGATTCCCATCAGCTGGGGGTCATGCAGCTTTCCCTGGAGAGGAAGAGTATCCGAGACTGAGACTGGGACTCAAAACAATCAGGCCACCCAAGAGGTAAACAGGTGAACATGAAGGTGATAGTTGATGAGAGGATCATCTGAAGGTATGAGGCAGTCACTGCCATGTCTACCGAGAACAAGGAGAGAACTGAGGGTCCCTTTGGACCTTTATTGCAGCTGCTTTTCTGGATCAAAAGAAGCAAACTGGAGTGGTGGAAAGGATGGGAAACTGCAGCAGGCTAGAGGGATTTCACCAAGCTTCCATTATAATCCTGCCCCTCAGTTCATCCTCCAGACCAAGCAAGCTTAATTCCTAGATCTTGCCTGAGATTCCTTGGCCTCTCATTAACACTCCCAGTTCCTCACCCCTCATGAAAGTCAGAGCCCTCACCTCCATGGTATGTGTTTTCCCTGAGGATGTCTGTCCATAAGCAAAAATGGTGCCATTGTAGCCAGCAAGGACATCTGGAAGACATAGCCAAGAAAGAGCATTGGTGGAAAGAAGTGGGGTAGGGAATGGGGAACCAGAAAACATACATTCTAAAAATACATCTTACAAAGATAATACATGTTACCTTTGACAATCTGCATGGCACACGCATGATAAACTTGCTCCTGAGTCGTGTTTGGGGGGAACACACGGTCAAAGACATATGGCTTCCCCTAGAATGGAAATAAAACATGGCAGATATCAGGAGTCAGGAAATGAGGAAGAAGAAATGCTGCAGCCCCCTTCCATTAGCCTGAGAAGGCACCTGTTTTTCAGCCATCTATATCCACGGACAGTTTGGGCGGGGAGCGGGGGGGATGAGGGAAACCAGACAAAGAGGAGCAAAAGTTGGTGCTGACACCAGGAGCTGTTCCTGTGCACTAGAGAGCACCATTGAGAAGTGTCACAGCCTCAGACTGTGTGAGGGGATCTCAGTCTTGGTGTGATGACTTAGTACTGCACCACTCCAGGCCTTTCCCCGGGAAACCAATGGGAAAAGACAGTAGGGCTGGCAGGCCGTAAAGAGTGAAAGACAATTCATTAACATTAAAAATCTACCTCTAGGGGATCCCTGGGTGGCATAGCAGTTTGGCGCCTGCCTTTGGCCCAGGGCGCGATCCTGGAGACCCGGGATCGAGTCCCACATTGGGCTCCCGGTGCATGGAGCCTGCTTCTCCCTCTGCCTATGTCTCTGCCTCTCTCTCTCTCTCTCTCTCTCTATGTGTGACTATCATAAAAAAAAAAAATCTACCTCTAGGTTTAAAAATATCTTCCTCAATAGATGCATATGTCCTGATGTGGACGAATCTTCAAGATGCATTAAATGAAAGATGTAAAGTTAGGGGCACATGTCGGTTATGTTCCCTATTGTGTAAATGAAATACAGGTACACCAAGATGCTGAGCTGTTGTTCAAACATTAACACAAGCTCTCTCTCCGTGAAAGAAATATATGAAATCAGAATCATGGGCCTCCTTTTAGCAAAGAGATACTGAAACAAATTACTGACCTACAAGTACTTTGTTTCATTTAGGTTATGTTACAAATCATGTGCTAACAAGCATGCTAAAGATACAAAATATTTAAAACCTGGGGAACCAAACAAAGAATATATTCACTATGTAATCATACTAAAGTGCAGATCTCTGGTAAGATTTTTTTTTCTGGTAAGATTAAATAAGACTATGCTTGTTCTCCATCACAAATGACAAATTTCTCAGTCATGTTTTCCTGCCATTCAGTATAAAGAGATTATGACTTAGTTGTCAAGTTGTTTTACTACAGACTCCATCTTTATCCAACTGAAATGTAAAGCTCCTAGGTCTATGGTCACCAGAATTGGGGAGACATGTTTCAACTAATTAAGGAAAGTCATAAAATTTTCATTGGCCAGAGCTGGAGATAATGGCTCTAGGAATATTCATAATATTCCATCTATACATAGAACTTTTTTCTAGAAGGAATTATACAAAAAATGTTAACAATGATTACTTTGAAGAGAGACAAGTCTTTTATTTTACATTTTGTATCTTGGCTTGCATATATATGTGTGTGTGTATACACACACACACATTTTTTAAAGATTTTATTTATTTATTCATGAGAGACACCGAGAGAGACAAGCAGAGACACAGGCAGAGGGAGAAGCAGGCTCCATGCAGAAGCCCAATATGGGCTTCGATCCTGGGATGCCAGGATCACACCCTGATTCAAAGGCAGATGCTCAACACTGAGCCACCCAGGTGTCCCACTTACATATATTTTTAAATTTTTAAGTTTTATTTTACTTAATAATTTCTACATCCAAGGGGGGGGGCTCAAACTCACAGCCTCGAAATGAAGAGTTGCATGCTCTTCTGACCAAGCCAGCCAGTGCCCTTGGATTGTTTCTATTTTTAAACCATGTACAAGTATTTTTTTTTAAATTTCTTAATGTGTGTTTCATTTTGTTTCCTTTGTTTCACTTCGTTGCATAAAGGAAAACTAGTAGATATATTTTTTTTTTAATATTTAAGAGATTTGAAAAGTCTGGCTTATGGGGAAAAAAAATCTACCTGAAATATTTGTCTGATCTCTCTTTGGTAAAAGCCTTTGAAACCCCAAAACCAGAATCCACAAAGAGAAATAAGTTGTGAAGATGCTCTCCAATGGAGGGAGTACTGTAAACTGATAGAGTCTTTCTGGAGGACAATTCTATTAAATATTTAAATGTCCATTCTGTTTGTACTCTGTATCAGTGAGTCTATTGCTAGGAATTCATTTTACAGCCCTTACTCAAGCACTTAAAGATCTATGTAGAAGGATGTTCAATCTGTATTAAAGTAAAACTAGAAATAATTCAAACACTCATTAACAAGATGTTGGTTATGATAGTTCCATATTCTACTCCCATTAAAATGAGTGAGGGTGGTTTACATGTTCTGACATGTTCAAGCTCAATTTAGTGAAAAAGTAAAAACAGTGTGTGTAATGTGATTATATCTTTTTAAGAGCATATGGATAGAATAGCCTTAGAAAAAGGAAATGTAAGGCTGTATAGAGACCTGCTAATGGTGGTTATCACTTGAGAGCTGAATAACAGGAGCTTACGCCTGCAATACTTTTCTGTGATATTTAAACGTCTTACAGTGACAACATATCATTTTTAAATTTAAAAATGTAACATGTTATAGATGATGTCATAAGATAATATGTAATGACAAGACAAGGTATACACAAAATACTGTCAGGCAAAAAAGTAGTTTTTAAAATACTATGCAGGGATGCTTGGATGGCTCAGCGGTTAAGCATCTGCCTTCTGGCTCAGGGCGTGATGCTGGAGTCCTGGGGATTGAGTCCCACATCAGACTCCCTGCAGGGAGCCTGCTTCTCCCTCTGCCTATGTCTCTGCTTCTCTCTGTGTGTGTCTCTCATGAATAAATAAATAAAATCTTCAAAAAATACTATGCAAAAAATAAATACATAAGATAGTATGCAGTGTAAAAAACAAATGCAAAAAGGATGATTCCATTTCTGTTTTAAAAAAAAATGTATAGGTACACCTTGCTTAGAAAAACATGTTAAGGGGTGCCTGGGTAAACTCAATCTGAGTTTAGCTCAGGTCATGATCTCAGGGTCCTGGGATGCAGCCCCACAGTCCAGCCCCATCCCCATGTCCGGCTCTGCTCTCAGCAGGGAATCTGCTTGTTCCTCTCCCTTGGCTCCTCCCTCTGCTCATGCTCTATCTCTCAAATGAATAAATATCTTTTAAAAAAATGTTAATAGTGGTATCTTGGACAGTAGAATTTTAGGAGATTCTCTATTTAGATTGAAAACTTTTCTAAATTAAGGTCACCTGGCTGGTTCAGTTAGATGAGCATGCAACTCTTGATCTCTTGGGGTCATGAGTTCAAGCCCCACGCTGGATGTAGAGATTACTTAAATAAATAAACTTTTAAGAAACTGTTCTAAAATGAAAATGCATAATTTTTTAAATAAAAAAAATTAAGCTTTTCAAAGATATTAATATTCTTACTATAAAGAGCTCTCATATATTAATAGCAAAAAAAGATAAACCTCAACAGAAAAATAATAAACAAGGGCTAGGTACTAGCAACAGAAAAATAAATACAAATGTTCAATATTTTCAAATTAAAACAGTAATATTGTTACTCACTTATCAAATTGAAAAACACAAGCTTAATTGTAATACCCAGTGTAGATAAGGGCTTAAGGAGGTATAATTTCCTTGAAATAAGCACCTTTGTCCTTTTCTGGTAGGAACAGTATGTCCATACAACTTTTATGGAGGCAATTCAGAAACACATAATCAAAAGCCATGATTGCACATATCTATTGACTCAGATGTTCTAAGAATTTATGCCATGAAAATATCTGTAGCAAATATTTAATTACAAGAATGTTTATTATCAGACTGCTTATAACAACAAGAAATTGAAAACAACTGAAAGGAGTAATATTTAGGAAACTGGTTAACATAAGGAATCGATTAAATAGTGGCATGTGTATATTTTTATTCTTTGTTGCTATTTAAAATGATGTCATAATAGAGGCACCTGGGTGGCTCAGTTGGTTAAATGTCTGACTCTTGATTTTGGTTCAGGTTTCTCAATCTCAGGGTTGTGAGTTCAATCCCTGCATTAGGCTCCAAGTAGGCATGGAGCCTACTTTAAAAAAATTAAATGAGGGATCCCTGGGTGGCGCAGCGGTTTGGCGCCTGCCTTTGGCTCAGGGCGCGATCCTGGAGACACGGGATCGAATCCCATATCGGGCTCCCGGTGCATGGAGCCTGCTTCTCCCTCTGCCTGTGTGTCTGCCTCTCTCTCTCTCTCTCTCTCTCTGTGACTATCATAAATAAAAAAATTTAAAAAAATTAAATGAGATAGAATAAAATGATGCCATAAAAGAACATTAATAGATTTCAAAAATGTGTTAGTAAAAGAACTCATACACAAGAGAGCACATACTGTATTATTCCTTTTGTATAACACTGAAGAAACAACCATACTTAGCTAGTGATAGAAGTCAAAATAGTGGATGCCTGGAGTGATATGACAGGTGTGGGCAAAAGGGAGCTATCAGGGGCAACAGAAATACTCTAGATTTCAATCTGGGTGGTGCTTATGTGGGTGTCAAAATACGTTATAATATTCATCAAACTGCTTGCATAAGATTTGTGCACTCATTGTATGTTTGTAATAGCAATTTATTAGGATAACCCTAAAAGTCCATCAATAGGGATCTGGTTAAATTATGACATATCCCTACAACAAACTATACAGTTGTTAAAAAGAATGAGGTAAATCTTTATGTGCTGATAAGGAAAAATCTCCTAGACTCATCATTAAGTTGAAAAAAAAAAAAAAGGCCAGGTACAGAATAGAACAATATGTATACTATGCTACCATTCTTGTTTAAGTTGTTTTTTTTTTTTTTAATTTTTTATTTATTTATGATAGTCACAGAGAGAGAGAGAGAGAGAGAGAGAGAGAGAGAGAGGCAGAGACACAGGCAGAGGGAGAAGCAAGCTCCATGCACCGGGAGCCCGACGTGGGATTCGATCCCGGGTCTCCAGGATCGCGCCCTGGGCCAAAGGCAGGCGCCAAACCGCTGCGCCACCCAGGGATCCCTTTTTTTTTTTTTTTAAGTTGTTTTTTTTTTTTTTTAATTTTTT